AACTTGTGTGAAGTAATTATGAGAGAGGGAGTGACTAGGAATGCTTCTGGGACGTATTTTGTGGAGTTCTTATTTGAGTGAAACCGTCTGTTAAAATTTTTGAAAATACTAGTGAATAGAAATTAATTAATTTCTGGCTAATTGTCGAGTCGTAACGAGGAAGAAATTAAGAAAAGGAAAAAAGGAATTTTCACAGTCAAAGAGCTATTTGACAGACTAAAGATTATGAAATAGGTCCATTTTTTTAGTAGCAGCATAAGTCTGAAGACAATTACATTATATACAGCTTTGTGTAATTACACTAAGTACGAGTACAAATCCTTCAACTGATAGGTACCGCCTTCTCAGGTTTTAGGAACAAATTATCATATCCCTATCAGTTAAATGATTTAGAGTGAGTATTTAACGCCTGTTCTTTTAAGGCAATGGTTAATAAATTGATAAATTTATCTTCGCGAATTTTTTTTTAGTTTGCGCCAAGAATAATTTACTTGACGAACTTCTTAATTTATAGCAACCTAATTTTTATTTCCTTTTTTGCATTGCAGACGAGAGGGGAAAAGTCAACGTTCATACTTTAATATAATTTTAACAAAGTGCGCAAACCACAATTGACGTTATTATCGCTCAAAAAAAGATGCCAAATTTCAAAACGCGCCAATATGTAATTTGATGTATATCTTAGAGAAAATTTTGAATAAAAACTCTAATTTTTTGCAGGAGTGCCTAGAAATACGTTTACTTTAAAAGGATGTTAAAAATTTTATGGGTTATAATACAAAGCAATTTTCGAAAAATTTATAGAAAACATTTAAAAATAAATCCTAAAAAATGTGCGAATTACATTTAGATTAAGCCTAAATTTCGAATTGTGGAAGAAGGAATCAAGTAAGTTTAAAAAAAAAAAAAAAAGAAATACTAATAAATATATATCAAATTCAATTAACATGGAGGAGCTAAAATTTTAAGAGCTAATTTTTTAAAATCTACTCGTACGATTTTTACAAAACTTGGCAGTTTGGCATAATTTGAGCTGTAGAATCGAAATATGAAAAAATTTCGTTATGCCTTTTCAGAAAAAGTCAAATTTTGTGTCAAAGTACTTATGTTAGAATAATGCTATATATAAATGTAATATGTATCCTAAGTCGCCTTTCGAGACATGAAAAACATAAGTTGAATTTCGTCAATCGGTCGAGTAGAACGAGAGATATAGAACTTTTTTTTTTTAGTCCAAAGGGAATTTGTCCCTGAAGAACTATTATTTTCGTTTTACGATTTTGCGTTGAAAACTTTAAAAGGCTGTATCACTTTTCAAATCGTGATATTTAGTAACTTGATAGAACTTGATATTTAGTAAATAAAGGTAACACACAAAATGTTAAAAAAACGCTCCTTTAGACGTAATTTAAAATCTGAAACCTTTTAGATTTTGTTTTTCGCAGTGTAGATAGATAGCTGATAGAAAATCATATAGGATATTTAAACTATTAGTTAAACGTATAAAAAATTGAATATTTGACAGAATATTGAAGAAACAGCATGAAACATTTTTATTACGTTTACGATCTACTATATTCATTGCCGATTTAAAAAAATCCACTATATATTCTTTTTTTACCAGTCGTCTTAGAAGCATAACCTGAAAAATTGATTGATGAAAAGTTCTTCATTTTTATGCTAGTTCACCGTTTTTCATAAAGGTGCCGAACTGCCTATAATTAATCATTAATTGAAACAAAAAACATTTATGAGAAACGCCGAATTGGCAGAACGGCACCGATGATCAGTTTCAGACGAGAAACTAATTTTTAGTTTGTGCCTGATCTCTTATGCCGAGGCACCATTATTAAGATTTCTGTCTTTTCGCACAGCGGTCGACTTCCATAAAGTTGGCACCATTATGAAGGCATTCCCGTTGTCTCATCCAATAAGTCTTCTTATTTATAGCAGGATTATTCTCAAATGTATATGTATTACAGCACTCCTAGCTACTGTATCGTTCGTTGGGTTCGGATTAGAATCCCAGAGAAGGCATTACTGCTTGTAAATATATAGTGTTTGTACGGTCTGGTGGGTCTCAAACTACACGACGAGCCGAAAGTCCTCTCGAGTCGTTTGGTGCTAGGAAAAGAAAAATGGGAGACCCTCGAATCCGTTCTCCAAGAGGAGGGTACAATCCTTCAAAATTGGGACAAAGCTGACTAAAGTGTTAATGGTCACTTATGGGGAGCTCAAGATCCATACCAACGACAGACGCAACCTTGCGCTTCTTGCCGCGATAGAATTCGGAAATTTAGTATGGTTAGATCAGACTAGTGAGATAAGATTCCAAGACCAGTGAGATAAGATAAAGATAAGACCAGAAGCTTCTTCCACTGCAGAAGTTCTGCAGTATATTTCTAAGCCCACATCAAGTATGCAAGTACAAAGCGATTCACTCTTGTATAGCTTCCGGTTAATATGCTCGAACGATTTGCAGTTCGGAAGATCTTTCTTCAGCGCTTGAGCAGCTGCTCCGTTTCCGTCTGCAGTCCAATAGAGAAAATGCATGTCAGGAAAACTTACTTTACTGAAAGAACCATTCATCATAGCATTGTGGTGAAAATTCACAGCTAGTTAGCCGCAACAAATCTTCGCAAAATTTCTAACTATGAATTGATTCTTTTTTCAGTTCGAGAATGCAGAATGTGATTAAATTGTCCAGTTTTATCCTCGAATCATTAATTTAGCGTGCAAGATTTATGAGACCGTGAGGACTGTCAAATTGTTCCAGTTGTCAAATCCTGTAATTCAAATCGATTATCTTATTTTAAATAATCAGTACTCTCCAAAAAATTTGTCCGATACTTTCTGAATATATCAGCCATGCTCGGGTTTTTTATACCATTTATTATATTTCGAGTAAGTATGTTAGGACTTGAATATTCTGTTTAAGGAGGATAAATTAGTTTAGATTTGTCAAAATTTATTTCCTTATTTTGATCAAATGTATGAAGAGCAAAATAACAGTTACAGGAATCGTTTATAATCCATTTGGCTGATTTTTATAAATATAAAAATCATTTACATATGGGAAAACAGTTGTGAAGATTTAATGGCAAAATATTAATGTTGGCAGTTTAGGCTAGTCAGGTATTTTTCTTTTTTATTATTAACTTCAACTCAAAATGTAATTCCTTATATCTTCTTGGGTTATAATTGTTGATGCTTAGGGTTTGAGTTAATTCTGTACTTGTTTTTCATTCATACTAAACATAATTGATAATAAGAAGGAATTAAGTTTCCTGAATTTTTTAACAGCTTCTTGCTCCCTTTCACTCTGTCAGTGGCCATTATTTTGTACTAATAGCCACTCATACTATTTTTCGTCAGTACTGTTTGAGATATAAAATTATTACTATCATTATTTAACTGTTTCAATAATATTTAACAAACGAAAAAATTACTGAGTTTAAAATTGTTCCATTACAGAGATCACCATTAAACAGAACTCGTCTAGTATGGCTTTAAAATTACCTTAATAAACAAATCGAAACAATCAAAAATATATTTAAATTGAAAAATTAGTATTTGTGTTCTGTACACTGTCCCCTACTAGGAGCCAATGGGTAAACAGGCAGAAAATTTATGCCAGTTAAAGTGATAAAAAGTTTTAACACAATATATCGAACAATGGCAGATGAGCCGGCAGACCGATGTTATAGCGCATCAGGACAATACAGCTGTATGCATAAGAATAAGGGCTATTATATAGTGTTAATTATTTATTATGAGGTGTGGGGATTTGAAAATGTATATTCATAAATTAATCTCCATTTTTTTTTTTTTTGGTCATCATTTAAAATTTCCGAATTCATTGAAATTTATGACTTCAAATTTTGTCGGCCTAGGCTTTAACTTATTTAGCCTATACTTGAATCCTCTCCCGATGAAGCACGACAAGACGCGCCATCTTATTGCAAATCCCAGTTTTTTTATACTTAATGTCTGTAGGCTGTCTATACATTAAACTTTAAACGGAATAATGCCGAATATGTTACTTCGCCTTCTCTACCTTGCCATTTTAGGAAGGAAAAATCTGATTTTTATGTCGTTTTTATAAACACTGTTAAAACAGATTTAAATGTTAGTCATTCTTAATCTTGTAAACAAGTTTATGTGACTGGTACTAATGGCTTATGCGAATGCTTTCTTCTGCTGAAATTACTGAAAAAATGCTAGTTGAAGAATTTTTTCTTGAAATTTCGTCATTTGAAAGAAAAAAAAATATCCATGTTAGTCAACGTTTTTATTTTCAGTCGTTACTGTCCAATAGAGTTTACACATCCTGAGTTCATAAATTTGTTTTGCTCCCTTCTTCAGAACCCCTTTTTCCCTGTTTTGCCTAGTAGATGGCATTAACTGCCGTTGCAGTTCGGAGGCTGAAATAGTTCATGTAAGTAGATTAATTTTAATTTTCTTCTGAAAAAGAAACCGCTTATTATTTTGCAAAATGGGAAAGTAACATACCAAGCAAAATTGAGTATACACACACACACTCACAACGTTGTTCAATGTAGATTTTATTTTAGTAGAAGCGCTTTCAGCAATTCAAACAAGATCCTCTTGTTCAGCTGCAAATAAATAAAAGGCGTACCGCCAACAGAAAGGCGGACTGATAAAATTTCAAGAACGTTTTAGAAATTAAGTACAATGTCCCTTCTATGGTCAGTTTCTAGTTTTCTTGAATATGATCAGCTGGCCAGTTTTTTGGAATTTTGTCAATTTGGATCACTCAGATCGCAAGGTTAAGGTCCGAGTTTTGTTCTTGAATAGCAATTATCTAAGACTATTTGAAGACCGGAAACTCAGTAACTGAGACCAATCTGAAATCATGGTAAAATCTTAGCCAACGAATTCCAGCTTTTAATTTTATTGTATTTATTCATTTACTTTTTATTTTTGTAATTGTTGTAGATGCAGTTTATTTATAACAGTTTCTTCTTGTGTCTTTGCAGAAGTATCCTCTCATGTGGCACGGGGAATTTACGATTAAAACTTTCCGTGCCATGGTGCGACTAAATTACATCTTGGGAAATCAACGAGTAGCCACCGGGGCTCTATCTATGCCTTCCATCCGAGTGGCAAAAAGATTGCGACAGGAGAACATGCCCGAACTTCCTTTAGAACTTCCGGTGAGTACGCTTACGTATTTGGTGAGTATTAGAATCTGTTCGTACTGTGGTATAAGAAACACAACTTAACTGTGTTGCTAAAGTAAGCTTTTCAGAATCATAATTACCTTCTCCGTTTTCGCTTACAATGTAAATAATCATACTTTCGCTGAAACATTTTCCCACTTCATTTTAGACTTTTATTTCAAATTACCCATTTTTCGTTTACACTGGCCATTCATATTAAAATGGCTCGCATGACGCTGATTACTAAATAAGAGATTTAGAAACAAGATCAATTCACAGATAACTTTTTGCTCATTCTAGGTCAGACCATTCTCTTTCCGACGCTCGAGATACTGACGTATCTTATCTATTCGCTTAGTGACTTCATTTTACTCATTGAAGTGAGAAAAATAAAGGCAGATTTTTTAAAAATTATTTTTGGAGGAGACTTACGAATAAAGGTCGTCAACTTCACTTGACCTTGGTAGAGAAGGACAAACCTTGGTTTGATGTACGCTTTTCGGAGAAACTTGTAAATAAGTCTTCACTTTATTTTTGTGTAAAATTTGGAACTGTAAACATTAACACCATACGTTTTTCGCTGAAAACGACCACTAAATGGAAAATGCAAAATCGGGTTCTATAGGTAGAGAAATATCATAAGTTTGGGCTGTCTTTTGTGACTGATTATCGTTTAATCTTCAGAGCTGCTTTTGCTAATAGAATGTTTCGGTAGCTATCATCTTGTAATATTGCTTAATATGCTTCAGGTTCGCCTATTTCACGGATGTTGCTTAACATACATATAAATAAATAAGAATGAATCCATAAAAGCCCAACTAGTGACAGAACGGGCATTCTTTAAGTTCAAACGTCTTTCTCTTAGCATTTGAGTAAACGCTGAATAAATTCACTGTTAGTAGTTAAAATGACAATATAAAAAATGAAAGAAAAGACCAATCGACGTAAAATTTGGATAACAGTTTGAGCACGGCAAGGCATGAAAATGATTAGAAATGCAACGTTTATTTAAGGGGGCCTGTAACCAGGTAGAATCAGAGTAAAAAAGGAGATGAAACGGCAATCGTGTCTTTGATAAGAAGTGTAAAACATGCGTCGACTAATAAAATCGAACGTACAACAGCATGTCTTTGAATTTTATCTTTGGAGAATAATAGCGTACCGTGGTCCCAAATTATCATATTGTCAGAATGCTGCTCATATTGGTTGGATTAGAAACACTGTCATGCGAATATGGAACAAATAAGTCCAGAAGAAACGGCAGAGCAACATGTAAAGGCTTACCTAGAGGAGAGACGTTCTATAAGAATGGCTCCTATGGGCTATAAAGCCACATTACGCACTATTATACCGGAAAGATTGTGCGCAGCATGGTAAAAAGGTTCCGCAAGAAAAGTGAGATGTTTGGAGGGTTGCTGACTGTCTTTACAGACGTCACTGCATTGCATACAAGCATCTGCAGTTGCTGCAATGCAAATGAGCTGCGCATATGGACGTAAGAATAACATGCCATTTTCTCTTCAGACGAATCCCACTTCTCTATGAAACATCATAAAAGATATGCATATATATATACGTATATGCGCATAGAGCGCTTGTTAGAATCTTGCCTAAGGCGTCATAATATTGGCCAAACCTTGAAAGCTATGATACAAGGTATGCAATGATACAAATGTCGTTTCGGCCTGGTACTCACATATGGCACTTTGACCAATCAGCATTATAGCATTACTGACTTGCAAGCGGTTATCTCATGCCTCCAGCAGCATTCTAGAACCAACTACCAACACGACGATGCACAACTCAATTTCAAGCATTTTATTGACGTGCCGACTAAGGCAAGAGCGTAACATATGAAGTTAAGATTTCTCCTTAACAACTGCGTGCACTAGCTCTTTCCCCGAATGAACACGCTTGGTGTAAAGTCTCATATACACTGGCACGACAAAAACCACCAACAAATATAGCAAATGAACTCTGGTAAAGAATTACGATTACCTGGAATGCATAGTCCTAAAATACCAACCAACAAGTCTTCGATTCTGTGCCGTGCTACATAGCAACGAGTGATTGTTGCTTATTCGATAGTGGTCATAGCATATTCTGTTTATTCAACGTATCTGAAATTTAACTATTTCATCCTTTGTATGATAAAGAATGAATAAAATTAACATAGCTATGTGTTACCTTTTGTCCTTGTTGGCGCTGTAGTTTTAATGGCCAAGTAGTGAATATGAACTAACGTACTGATGTCATTTTGCTTTGCACACGGATATACACATGCATGCATAAAATAAGATCGCATATATCTACTTTTTTGTGTAATGCTATCAAATTTTTGTTTGTTGCTTGATACCTGGATGATGTGTTATTTTAAAACGCTTTAAAATTGTAGTTTACTGCTAATTACACACGTAATATAATTTCTGCTACTTATAGGTTTCTTTCGCTTTAAGGCAATGAGCATTTCTGCGAAATATTTCGTAAAGCAAAGAAATAGTTCGTAAAGCAAAGAAATGCGAAATAGCGTAAAGCAAAGAAATAGTTAACATTACTATTAAATAGTTAACTTACTTATAAGAAAGTGTTTGAATATTTCCAATTTTTAAGTAATAAAGTCATCATTACTTCTTAAAATCTAAAATAACAAAACAGCAATCATGATACTTATTCCTTATGGGTTAATCTTGGAACATTGAAAGGAAAACAAGCAGAAATTGGAAGATTTTTAAGTACGCTGGCAGGCACAGTGTTGCGTTAAGCTGGGTTATCGTAAATTTGGTAGCTGGAAACATAAACTTTATGTGAAAGGCAAAAATTATCTATTAATATCTTAACGTCATTTTTATCCGTTAGGTTAGTGTCTTTGTTTTTGTGCCAACCTTATTGATGAAAGCCCAGGTTTGTCGTGTTCTCTAACTGATGTGAAAGGCATGCTATAAGAAAGTATGCTTAACTTCTAAGACTGAAAATTGTTCATCCAATACTTCGCAAGCAATCGAGTCAATCTGCAGAACTTCCTTAAATGCGTATATTGTTACAAAATTAATTATTTTTGTTTGTAATTATCGCACAAAGCTCCATTTTGCTTTTATGCTTCTTTCTACAAAGGAAAAATTCTCTTCAGATTCCTTTTGCTAATCGAAAAGGGCTTCCTTTATGTCGTTCTTAAAAGAGAAATGATGGAGTACAGCGATCATTCTTGCCGTGAAGGAATAATCTGCTGAAGACCATATCCGACAGTGACCAATATTTTTGAGACCATAAATAAATATTAACATTGAACATACCTCTCTAATCTGTCCACATCCACAAATGATCAAAAGCATCTATATAAGTTCACTCTATTTGACTTTTCTCTATTGGAGAATCCAATGCTTTTTATTATAATATGGGTGATATTAAGACCAGCTTAGTCATGTAACTTTTCCTTTTTCTATTAAACGATCTAATATTTAAAGTAGTCATTTTACGTTTAGAAGAAAGTAGGAAAAGTCGAAATTTATATATATATATATATATATATGTCATATTAAAAGCACAAGGAAAAGCCGGATCACTGTAGATGCGTAGTTATCCTATATTGAAGAGGAAGTAATCTGATTGCGTCGTAAGTTAATGTGTTGACTTCGTAAATTAAACTTGGCAGTAGAAGCGATTTTAATTCCATTTTTATTCCCAATTGATATTTGTGGCCACAATCACAAGATTTACATTTTTGATATTTTCGAGATAGAAAGCAAGCCAGCGAAATTACATCTTAGCACAGTAGAGAGCAAAAGCTGAAGTGCGTAGTTATGAAAGATGGAAGCACGCGAAGAGAAAAAGTTTTGGTTTTACAATTCGGTGATTGGTCGTCAGAGGCATCTGGTTATTAACGGTTACGTAAGATCGCATGATTAATTTGAATGACGCAATGCAGATAAGTTATTAGGATTTTAGAATAGAGAGGAAGAATTATTGTTTTAGTTATATTATAATTCTGATTCATATAATTTTATATTACATATATATATATATTTATATACACGCATACACATAAATATATAAGATAAAAATATGTAAAGCGAATTTTTAAATTTAATTGGCAATAGCCTTTTTATCCTTCATTTTAATTTGTATATTTCCCCTTTCTGACCTAAATATAGTAACTGTGTATAATATATTAATCTAAACTGCGTCATTTCTAAATGAATCCGCATTGTACTTTCTTACACAACGCTGAAATGCAGATACGTTTTATTCAACCAGATTAAGATTTCAGTTGATAACAGAACCTTTTGGACTCTACTCTGCCACATTTTCTTCTGCATACTTTTCCTTTCGCTTCCGCTTCTCCACTTACCGCTGCCTCTAAAAATATATTGCGCCCATTTTATAAGTGTTGTGTTAATGAAAAATGTGTTTCAACCATACAAAAAAGGAAATAATGCAATTCGCCACATGTATAAGTTTCTTCTTCTACGCCTACGCATCTATCTACCGCCACGAAGCATTTCTAAGTTTCTATATATGTGGGTCACAACCTTCTTTTCACATCTGAGATTGGCAACGCCACCACCAACGAAGTCACGTGACCGCCTCTCGCAGAGACGCTGGTCGGGAGATGAAAACAGACGAGGGAAGAGGTGATTCGAAAACAGAAGCGATGATGCAATTTGAGGAACCAAAAGAACTGTAAACTTTTATTATGATGTGATTCTTCTTAGTATGTCGTCATTCCATTTTCGTGATGCCATAGACTAATTTTCGCATCTTATTTCTTTTCATTTTTATACGTTATCTTCGTGTTAATTATGTTGACGTGTTTTCGTCATTAAAATACTAAATGTCATTACCGTCGTAATCATTGAAACTGAGCATAATGACACCTTACGTATATATATTGCAAGGTACTGACTTTAATGTATTCGACTTCTAAAGGCTGAAGGCTCCTATAGACCCATCTACTTACTGAAGTGCTTTAGCAAGGTCCTAGATAAATTTATTATAAA